TGAATATCTATTAAGTACCTGCTGTTCACACTAGGCAAGGATATGCATGGCTGAAAAATAAAGATACAATTGTGATGAACATTTACTCTCAAAACAACATAGAATCAAAGGCAACAAAGCCAAACCTGTTGAAATGCAAGGAGGTGGTAGGAGACAATGGAGGAAAATGTAACAAGCCTCTCAGCCTTGATAGATCAAGTAAACAAACTCACGAAGCATACAATAGTAACATAATTAGGCTTGTGGTGTCTATTATGCATTAGTAGTCTAATAAAGAATTCCGTAGGTTACATCTAGAGATTGAATCATTTCCCGAGCCTCTGAGGAACTTTTACAGAAGTTGATTCTATAAAAGGCCACCAAACCAGATTTCAACACATTCCCAAAGCAGGTACTGTATGGGCCAAATTCTCAAAACAATTGCAGTGAAACTAAATGAAGCAAACTATGAATTAAAAATTAAAATCCTCTCTTCAGTAAGTCTGCGTTTTGGGATTATCTGGAAACTTCCCTCACAGTCTGTTCAGAAACTAATTTGGTTGAGAGAAATAAGGCAGGAGACCCAGGAGTGTGGGCCCTCAAGTTAGGGTTTGAATGCTGGAAGCACCAGTATCGCCAGATGCTGGGGAAGGCATGGGGATCACCCGGGAGCAGATGGACAGCATCAAGCTAAGAATGAGCACTGATACTGAGAGTCCTTTAGACATGAGTTCGAGTTCTGCTTCCACCTTTCCTTGGCTTTGATGGATGTGTCAGCATTTTCTGGTCAGCAGTCTGTTTATTAAGGACCATGTCATAGGGGGCTTCTCAACCCTCTCTGGGCATCCAATTCCCAGAACTGTTGTTTTTTTAGGTTTTATTTTGTTTTATGTGTATCAGTGTATCGCACCATGTGTGTAAAGCACGTGTGGAAGTCAGAAGAGGGTGTCAGGTCTCTGGAACTGGAGTTACAGATAGTTGTGAGCTGCCGCGTGGGTTCTGGGAATCCAATTCTAGGTCCTCTGCAAGAGCAGCAAATACTCTCAACTGCTGAGCTATCTCTCCAGCAGTACCTCCTACCCGCACCCCCCCCCCAAAATCAGCAAGTTTTTAAATACTACTACCGCTTTGCCTCTCTGCCTGGAGAGTCTGATTTAGTTGGTTTGAACCAAGTTGCTCAGTGCACAGCTAGGATGAAGAACCACAAAGGTGATCTCTCATTTCTGAAATTCTGTGGAACTATGAGACACCTACAGCCTTCCCATGGAAGAAAGTTTTGGGAGGCTAAAGCCCATGAAACAGTAATGCAATCTAATCAAAGTGTGTATTATCTCAAATGGTGCAGAAAATGCCAGCTCCAGTTAATATTTTGCAGCCAACATGATTTAGACCTGGGGCATATATTGTACTCCAAGACCATTGTAAACACAATGGACCATTTATTCACTGAACAGTAACCACTGTAATTACCTACAGGGCAAACATATGAGGTTATTCGAGCAACAATTAATTGTGGACCTGGAACTAATAGGACACTAATGGTGAAGCATCAACCAGAGCACAAATCAGAGATCACATCAGAAAACAAGTATTTCCCAACGTGTATTAGATAAGGGTCTGAGGGATGTGATGGGCATATGTAATGCCCCAGGTCCTGAGGTAGTCACTCCCAGAGTTTTCTAATAGCTTCTGAGAGGAGGAGACTTCCCATGGGGTTCTAATCTTAAGAGAAGAGTTGTGAACACTACATTGGATGAGACTGCACACAACTGCTGTCTCTTGTGTTCCCTGTGGGACCCATGTGTCAGTGTGTCACTTGCAAGCAGGTGTACAGACTTTGTTTGGATTGTAGGGCATTCTTTGTGACTCTGATAAAAGTCGTGGAATCTTGTTTTGTTTTGCTTTTCAGAAAAAAAAGTGCATATCTGTGTGTACTGAAATATCCATGCAAATCTTTCCTGCAGTGTTTGGAAGGGTTCATGGACAGCGTTTCCCTCTGTTCTCACTACATAGTCCAGCCACTGTGTATGTCCCTTCCAGTACAGCACTTCCTCTGATGCCAGGTTTTCCACTGCGGGCAGCCCAAGGAATAAAGATGCTTCCATGTGGCTAGCAGGAATTCCACTCCATGTAGAGTCTTCCCTCTAGTCCTGAGTTTCCCTGCAAATTTTTAAATAGCCATACATCCTTTACCCTTATCAATCCTGGGAGACTGTCTTAGTTAAGGTTTCTATTGCTGTGCAGAGACACCATGACCATGACAACTCTTATAAAGGAAAACATTTAATTGGGGCTGGCTCACAATTCAGAGATTTAGTCCATTGTCCTTATTGGCGGGAAGCACAAGCTGATATGGTGTGGAGAGGTAGCTGAGAGTTCTACATCTGGATCCTCAGGCAGCAGGAAGAGAGAGACTACTGGGCCTGGCTTGAGCTTCTGAAACTTCAAAACCCACCCCCAGTGATACACTTCCTTCAACAAATCCACACCTGCTCCAGCAAAACCACACCTTCTAGTAGTGTCACTCCCTGGTGATCAAGCATTCAAATCTATGAGCTTATAAGGGCCATTCCTATTCAACCACTACAGAGACCTTAGAAGTGGGTTTCTCTAGGTGTCTAACCCCACATGGAGACCATTAGGTTCTTGCATAGTCAGCTCCAATGGATAGAGTCTTTGGGGGCTGCAGAGTGTATGTAGGACATCCAGGGACCTTAGGGATAGCCATATGCCTTCTGATCCAAGGAGAAGGACAGATCTCCACTGCCTGCTCACAAGCCCTGGGGAGAGTTGGTAAAAGCGGCAGTAAAGACTTTCCATCCACCGCTCAAGGGTCCTGGCTGTTGTCCCTTGGGGTGCTGAACCAGGGCTCCCATATATCAGAATTGGTGCTACTGCACACGATGGCTCAGAGGAAGCTCTCAGTAGTGAGCAATCTAGCTTCAGCCTTCAGCACTCTGTCAAAGATTAAATGAAACAAAAGGAAGAAGGAAGGAGGAACGGAGCAGCCGTAGAGGAATTCTTTCATAAACCCAGAATAGGAGAGACCTTTCTAAATATCACGCAAAATCTGACAAAGCAAATGGGAATAAAGAAATTTCATCATGGCTCAAAATATTTTTCTTTAAGGTTTTTTTTAGTACATTTGTGTGGGGGAGTGGTGTGTGTGTGTGTGTGTGTGTGTGTGTGTGTGTGTGTGTGTATGTACATAAGCACAGGCGGGTGCATGTATGTAGAAGCCTGATTCTTTTCTTCTACCATGTGATCCTAGGGGTCAAACTTTGTGAAGGCAAGCACCTTTACTGACTAAACCATCTCCCTGGCCCACAAAACATTTCTATGTGGTAAAAGACTCAGAGTGACAGCAAAAGACAAAGGACAAACTATTAATAAATGGAAAAATAGGAACCGCAATCAGTTCCTTAATATAAAAGATCATTTTTTTAACAGACAGACAAAGAAGGGTAAGAATCAAATTGGAAAAGGGACAAAGGACAAGAGTCATTTTCATCCAGAGGGGAGCTACAAATTGCTCTCAGACCTTAGAGGACTCAGCCTCGGTCCCTGGGAGAGAGATGCAAATGAGAAGTGCAGCCAGATGTGGCTCTCCCCACATCTCACTGCAAGGATCAAAAAGGTTGAGGCTACCTTCTGTGGATGAGGCTGGGGGAAGGAGAGCAGAGATCAGAGGGAGCGTTAGGAAGTGGTGACATTTAAGCTGGACAGATAATTAAAATCCAATTTAACAACTTACTGGCACTTAAAAGAAAGTGGAAAAAAATAATAAAGGGAAGGGTGGACAGATCTGACTACCGAGTGTAAATTAAAACACCATGTGTAAGGACAAACAACGTGAGGTTTGTGGCAGCCATGATAGCCCAAGTTTGAAGGCTATACATTTTTGACATCTTCTTTAAATTCAATTAAAAAGCACCAGAGTCCCACTCAGAGATGAAGGCATGCAAAAGCGCTTCCTAAAATAGGACCTATTCCTTAGGAACCACCCATGGAAAAAGGCTCAGCAGTATATGTAACCACAACTGTAACAGGGTCCTGTTTCTGTGATAGCTCATTATAAAGTTATACAGAAAAATGGTGTGTATTCCCTGTTGATAAGAATGTGGTGAAACTGGACCTTTAATTATCTTTGGCTAGCAGATATGCAAAGTGGAATATTTTCAGATTATTTAAATATGAAGATATTAAAGGTTTGCAGCCTTTATTTATTTTTTTTCTTTTTGAAACAGAATCTCATGGAGCCCAAACTGGCCTCGGAGTAACAGAAGATAACCTTGAATCTCTGACCCTCCACCTCCTGAGTGCTGGGATTACAGGCAAACTTCCATTCATACATCACTGGGGCCCCTGGCTTCATGTAAGCTAGTCAAGCATTCTACCAACTGCACCAAATGTCCAGGTCTTCACAGACTGTCTCATTGAAATACCCTGAAATATAGAGTGAAATGCTATGCACCAAGATGCCCGTGTGACAATGACAGCAAACGTGTAAACAACATGGCAAATTAAAGAGTGTAGTGTCCCTAAATCAGAGATAACTCAAAACACCACTGCGTTCACAATGATGCTGATAGTAAAATACTGCAAAGAATCCCAGACTGGAAGTTTCCTTGTTTAAATGGGAGAATAGCTCATTTGTGTATAGAGAATGATCTAACAAAAGACAAGCAAAAACACTGTTCAAAAACAAAGATCACAAATGATTCCGTTTCTTTAGGAAGGTGTAGCTCGCTGGTTCATCTAACCCCTTTCTCCTTATCTTACGTTCTTTTTATCTTCTCTTCGGGACTGCTCTTCCAAAGGACTAGAGTTTGGTTTCCAGCTCCAGAGCATCTGATGCCCTCTTCTGGCATTGTCAGGCACCTGCACCCACGTACACACCTACACAAAGACGGGCAATATACATAATTAAATGAAACATCTTGTCCCAAGTGAGAAATGCCTGCCAGGAAGGACTGCGTTCAAGGCCCCGATAAAAAAGGTGTCCTCTCTTGTTTTCTCAGCTTTCCTTCGCTGCCACCACGCCTGTTCTTGCGGATAAGAAGAAGTACCCATATTTCTTCCGGACTGTGCCCTCTGACAACGCGGTGAACCCAGCCATCCTGAAGCTGCTGAAGCACTTCCGGTGGCGGCGCGTGGGTACACTGACGCAGGACGTGCAGCGCTTCTCCGAGGTACTTCTGGCCCACATTTTCGGGAATATTTCACTGACATTTCATACATGTGTCATTGTATCTGGCTCCGGTAACCTACCTGTCCCTCCTTCCCTCACCTTCTTCCCCTCCCAAACTGTCCCCTTAGTTTGTCTCACACTATTGCCCTCTCTTGCTTTCCCTCTCCCCTTTTACACCCCTTTCTCTGCTCGCTTTACTGCTAAACCCCATCCTGACATCCCTTTTAGTTTGGTACCCATCCACCTAGAACTCTTCTCAACATACACACTTAAGCCCTTACTGTACATGGATAATTTTGCTTTTCATTTGCTCTTTGGTGGGCCCCAGAGACCTTGATTGAGCTCCTTTTTAATAGGGTGGTGTGTAAGCTCAGATGGGTGCATTATAGCTCATGGAACCAGACCACTGGGGGTGTTCACAGCCATGTACCTCACAGCCTCCACCTCAGGTCTGCATGTGAATGCTGACAATATTTTTCTAAAAGTGAAGTTATGGGCTATGAAAACTGGCCAGAACTGACTTCAGGGACATCTGGTCCACTTTCAGAATGCTTGGAGATTGCCACCTGCTCACCTCTTCATCCACAGTGGATGACAGCCCTCAGTGCAGAGTAGTGGTCTGTCCCTTTCTCTATCATTTCCTCTACCTCCTTAGTCTCCTTCCAATCAAGTCATCCTCGGAGGCTTAGAAGTCCCAGGAAGTCATCCTGTGGGCCATGGGTCATGGGTCATGGAGGCTTAAACACTCAAGTCTGGTGAGCAGGCAAACCTCAACACGACTGTGTCCTGGGCCCTAGTAGGGTTGGAAAGGGGCAGGGCTGGGAGTCTCCAGCTTGGCTTCAGCAGATTGCACAAACCCATTTCTGAAACTCTATCCCCATCCAGCAGCCACTCGATAGTTGCCTGTGAGACCCTGGAAAGGCCCCCCCTACCGCTCTGAGCTGTGGTTTCCATCCCCTCCCGAAAAATAAGGACAACTCCCATCCCAGATGCTTCTGTGTGTGTGTGTGTGTGTGTGTGTGTGTGTGTGTGTGTGTGTAGAAATAGAGAGAGAGAAAGGGGAGGGGAGAGAGAGAGACAGAGAGAGAGAGAGACAGAGAGAGAGAGAGACAGAGAGAGAGAGAGACAGAGAGAGAGAGCTGGCACTATGATCTGTAAAACCCAGTACAGAAAGGAGTTGGAAGTGCTTGGGAATGGAAGTATTGAGCAGTGATCCAAGACAGGCTTGCATTCCCAGGCAAGCCCCTCACTGAGGACTAAAGGGACCTTGACCTCCAGTGGGAACCACTCACTGCCAACCTCTGAAGAAGTTGTTGCTGGCAGAGTCTTTTGTGGAGCAGGGACAGGGCTCTCAGTGACTGAGAATCCCTGCAGGGATTCAGGGGTGCCTGCTCAAATAGCATCTTTGGCTGTGAGAGCCTAAGAAGTCCTTAGAGATGCCTCCCCTAATCTTGTTATTGTGTAGAAGGGGAAGACCCACAGCAGGGAAGGCCAATGTTCCAGGTTTCAAAGTAACTCCAAAGTCACCAAGGACTGTTCAAAGATGGGCCAGGACTGGAGCCAGGAAGGGAGCTCAGTTGGTACAGCACTTGCCTAGCATGCAGGAAGCCCTGGATGCCACCCCAGAACCACATAAACTGGGCAATACACACCTTTAATCCCAGCCCCAGAAAGGTAGAGGCAAAGCCTTCCTCACTACAGAGAGATGCCTGGGATAAATGAGACCCTGTTTAAAAGGAAGGGAGGGAGAAATTTTTTAATTAAAGAGAAGAGAAAAATGACTGAATTACAAGTCCTGATCCCCTAGTTCAGACACCATTTCCTTTGCAGCCATAAATTCCTGGGGTCACATGGGAACTGCTGGTAGAGGGCCCCAAGGTCTGAAACTCATGGAGCTTGGTCAAAAGAATACAAAAGATCAGTCTGGCTGTACCAATGAGTACTTTGATGATCCCTAAGCTCTCTCCACACCAAGCTGACTTCCATATGCCTGCCCTGTAGGGGGAGGTGATGATGCCCACATTGCAGATGAGAAAACTGAGAGTAGCAGAGGGCAGATGGCTTTGCCTGGTGTTCCAGCTGCTGGTCACTGTTTTTTCTATGACACTGTCCTCCCTGGGATCAGGTGTTGGCTGTTTGGTGCCACATCCCTGTCCCCACACAGCTGTGTCAGGGCTGTCTGCTGGGGTCTTGGCATCTTGGGAAGACACCTTTCTAAAGTGTAGGATGCAGCTTGGTGACAATTGCCGGCAAGGACTCTTCTTGATTAAAGCTCTCAGCCCAGTGACTCCTCTGCCTGAGAACCTTGGCATCCTCACCAAGTGTCTGGGCTGCTTCACTGGAGTGCAGCTGCTGGACCCTGGCCAGGGGCTAACAGCTTCTCAGGAGTGCAGAGGAAACTGGATTCCCTTTATGGAACTAGTAAATGGGCAGTATCAAGCACTTCTGTTCCAGATAGGTACACCGGAAGAGACCTAAAGGGAAAGCTAGTCTGAGGTTGGAGGGGTGGGCATAATCCCAGAATTCGTCAGTGTGATACTAGTACTATGGGCTAGGTAGAGTCTGAGGGCCATACCAGCCATGGCACCAACTGTTCCTGCAAGCCCATAGTTCCTATTGTATGACAATGCACTTGGTAGATCTGAGCAGACATCTACTTACCCCAGATAGGAAGCCAATGACAGAGTGAGGATGCCACCAGCCAATTGGTGAGTCAATGAGTATACTTGGGTGACTTCCAAGGTTATAGAGAAAGGGTTACCTACAGGATCAGAAATACTCAAAGGCAGCTGCAATCACCAAAGTCCACCACAGCATGGGGGACAGCTCATGACTACTGGAAACCTGGAGCACACACAGCTTAATAGGTCAGAGTATCTTCTCCAGGTGCTCAGATGGCCTGAGCCGCTTCTAGGCAGGTCTGTCAGTCACCACTCAACAGTCCTTGCTTTTTTATACAAGCCCAGGGAGGGAGAGGTCTAGTGAGTCTGTTCAATTTTAGGGACTAACTGAAGCCTTTGAGTTGTTGGCTTTCTGATCTTGAAGAGCTTCTGTGAGGGATGAAATGTGCTACCCGCCTTAGGATAACCTGTGTCTTAAGGAGCTTTCCTCCAAGACCGAATGTTTCATCAGAGGAAAGAGCTATACAGCAGTCCCCATGAGTCAAGGCTGTTGCCCAGTGGCCCCCAGACAAGTGAATCTGGCTCAGACAAGTGAATCTCTAGGTCTAGCCTTACAGGCTGTGAGTCCTCAGACAGTGTCCTGAGCTTACTCTCACGTGTGCCAGACCTGGGAATGCAGCTGAGACAAGAAAGGATTTGTGGCTAGAAAGACTAAATGTGCTGCAGCCATGCCCTCTCTAGATTAGAAACTGTGAAGCCAGAAAAGGAATGACTCAATACCAGGCAGACTCGTCTGTAAGCCTGGCTTTGTGGGCAATGCTGCGGTTCCACATGCTTGATTCAACTTACAGAGGCGGGCTTCCCCTGTGTAAGAGCAGATGTCGCTCAGGGAGATGGAGGTGTAGACAGCAAGATGAAACTGAAAGGCCCCCTGTGTAGGTGTTGCTCATCCAGTGGTCATTCACTGCCCCGAGAATTCGGGAAGCAAGCTTTGGGAACATACATCTACTCACTCAGAGAATGACGATGTGGCCACATTGTGTGCCAGACCCTGTACTCATAGGCATAGCACCAGGGTTATCAGCTGTCAGATTTCCTGCATTGGCGTCTTAGTTCTTGCTGCTCATTGCAATCCGGGGAATTCCCACCCCCTCTGCCATGCATGTGTGTTTGTGTATATGTATGTGTACACGTGTGCATGCAGAAGCCAGAGGCCAGTGTCAGATGTCTCCCTCAATCACTCCCCACCTTGTTTTTTAAACAGGGACTCTCACTGAACCTAGAGTTTACAGATTCAGCTGGGTTGGCTGGCAACAAGCCACTTGTCTCCATCTCCCTGCAGAGGGATTGCAAGGGCATGCTACTGCACCTACTGTTCTGCAAGGGTGCTGAAATCTGAACTCAGGTCCTCATTCTTGCATGGAAAGTACTTGATTGACCTAGTCATCTTCCTGCCCCAATTTTGTTTTGGTTGGTTGGTTGGTGGGTTGGTTGATTGGTTGATTGGTTGGTTGTGTTTTGGACATAGGGTCTCGATGTGCAGCTTTGGCCTCTATCCTCCAAGAGCTGGGATTATAATCACACTTTTTTTTAAAGTCCAACCTAAAATTTAGATTCCCTAAATTGGATTTTCCACTTTCAGCAGCTTTGTTGGGATGTAACTTTCCAGCTAGACACCTTCCATTGCTAGTGTCTGTGTCAGTTACTTTCACAAACTCACACAGCTCTGCCCTCTCGCTTGTGCCCATTTGTAATTAGCCCTACCCCCAGCCTCCTGTGACTGCTAAGGCATCCTTTCCACATGACATAAATGACCAACAAAGCCACTTCGGACAGATGGCTCACTCTGTCTCCTTCTGTGAAACAAACCAGCTGGGGCAGGTGAAGTGCCTCTAGCTCAGGGCATTTAACTGGGTGAAGGGGTATCCACGGCCCCTGATGTTGCCATTGCAAGGGACATAGCCATGAATCTCGATCTTCACGTGCTATAGTTCAGTTTGTTTGTTTGTTTTTAAGGGCTTATTGTTTTGCAGCAGTTTTGAGTTCTCAGGAAAACAGAAAGTAACACACAAAGATGACCTGTATGTCTCCACCCCATACACTTTCACAGCCTCCACCATCAGCCACCACCCCCTCCGCAGAGTGGCATCACTACACCTGATGATCTGATCCTGATGATCTGATCCTGACTCATCTTCACCGTTTAAACCAGTGGTGCACATTCTGTGTTCAGGCAAACCTACACCAGGATACAGCTTTGGTCCCAACATAACATGAGTCCTGTTTTCCAGGCAGTACTAGGCATTGAACCCAGGCCTTGTTCATGCTAAGCAAGCACACAAAATATTTACACTGCCCGAAAATATTACATCACTGTGTT